TTTATGTGACTAGAAAAGTGTAAAACAACAAGGCGATAAGTCAAAACATATTAAACAGAGAAAAACATTAATAACAAAAATATCATGCTGGAAAAAAGCCAAATGATAAGTCAAGTATCAACAGAAATATAAAAAAAAAACATGAAATTTACAGAAAATTTCGAAAAATACAATGAAAAGTAACATTTACTCCGTAATACATACTATGAAAAAGCTATACAACTTAACATTTTGCAAAAACAAGAAAGTCCCCTCCCCCTTCCAGACGCTTAAGGATCTGTGATAAACCTTGTATCAAAATAAAATTTATTTTAAAAAAATTGAAACCCGGGAGGAACGACAACCCGAAAGCAAGCCGGCAGCAATACACTACTGTTCCTACTCAACAGTAGTAATACTACTGAACCACTGTCAATTTTAATCGTATCATTTTTGTATCGCAGACCCGGGTCTCAGGGCCGGACATTTGCATATCACACGTGGGGCATAGGGCAGTTGAGGTAAGGAAAACGTAATAGCTGCCTTCATTCCTTACTCATATCTGCCATTCGTTCCTTTTACAACAAACTAACACTTTGAAAAAACAAAGATTTTACAAAGGCTCTACATAAAAATACTTATTTTATCTTAGAAGCTGTACAAAGTACTAAATAGATTTCACAACATAATGATTGCTTCATAAAGAAGACCAAACAAAGTAATTTCCATTTTGTAATGCAAACTGTAAAAATTCATGTACCGACGATTTAAAAACAAACTACTACATAACTCAACTTAGTAAAAAATCTAAAAGAATCAATTTTTTTTTCGTATAACAATGGACTGAAAAACATCAGAGTCATAAGCAACCAAACTTAATACCTAGCAATTAAGAGTAATTTTAAAAAAACTTCAACAGGCTCCATGAAAGCTTGCCGCACTCGCAAATTCAATCCCGTAGTAGTCAACCATAGAGATCATGATCACCGGCAGCGATCAGCTAAACAATCTGATTATCACTTTAGAATAGAAAGTCCCATTTGTCAACTTAAAAAAAAAGGTGCTAGTAAAGTGCAAGGGAAAAGGTTTATTGCAAATTCTAAAAATACTCTTTCTACTTCCCAAATAAAACAATCACTCTGGATCTTTTGTTAAGGTCGAAAATTACACTCTATTCTTAGATTTTGCACCTTTTTGCCAAGTTTTTCTCTTTGGCTGATCCGTCCTTCGACAAAACCTTACACCGTTCTTGCTAAATTTCTGTCCCGTGACAGGAGTTACTAGATTTTAACGCATGCTAATATCGTATTACAGATTAAGTAGTAGGTCGATCTCGAATTTTAGTCTGTTCCAGCCAACTTCTGTTATTCCTTAAGCGAAGTTTCACGCCTTTCATGCTTCCTCATTTCTCCCACGCAGCCTCAAGCGCAGTTGAATTTGATATCCCCAAATACATAAAAAGAGGGAATTTCCTCTTTGATAATGAGAGCCAATTGAAAAACTTTCGTTATCAGAAGGAAAGGGAAGAGGAAAAAGAGGGCGGGGGGAGGGGGAGAATGGGAAGGGAGATCCTCTTTCTATACAATTTTAGCAAGTGGACTTGCAGCTTATGCACATTAGCTACCCGCAGCCATAAGTGCTTATCCTATCCTCAGGCAAAAAAGTGAACTGCCTAACAAAACTAATGAATTGTAAGGCCAAAAGGTGAAACATCATAAAATACCAATCCATTCTAAAACGGCTATCAACTCATTTGTAAGCAACCCTCAAAAGAGGCCAACATTGTTAGCTTTACCAGCTGGTGGTGCTGGCAACTGCTCTCGGAATATTTCCGAATGTTTCTACCTTTTCAAGAGGCTGAATGCGACGGGGCTTTTGATTCCTATTTGGGATGATTAGTTCCTCGTTGGGCCTCTACGGCTCTTTCCGCCCTTCCTGTTTAACTATGCCAAGGGTAACGATAGTTTTTGCAGAGGTATGACAATTAAAGCCAAAATTGTATTCAAAAAAATATCATTTGCCATTTTTTCTATTAACCAAAAAAAAAAAGACAGGAAAACGCATACTAGCAAGAGCACTGGGCATCACCGCGAGCAGAGCGCCACATCACTGCCGGCGCTCTATTTTCCCGGCGACCTTCGACCCACTCCCTCGTACGTTGTTCGATCTCAACATAAAAAGATTAGTGAGCCATAACTGCAAAAGTAGAAAATACTTGATAATTTAAGCCCTACAGCAGAAAAAACAACTATTAGCTGCATGCACCAGCTGGTTAGACAGTATTCCTATAAAGGCGGCTGAATCGCAAATACTTGTTAAGAAATCTTAGCAAAACGGAACTATCCTGGCCACACTGGGATGAAATTTTCTTTTGTCTACTATAGATCTTTTAACTGGCAGGCAGCTACAAAGAAATAACACCTGTCGGTACTGTTTCTATTGGAGCAGAATTATGCAGGCATTGTGAGAAGAGCGCGCCGTTAAAGATTGCGAATTTTTTTCCTCAAGCATTAAATTAATAAAATCTGGACACATGCGAGGTTCCAGCAGCTGAAGTCAACCCAAATCAACACATACATTCCCTACAGTACTACGGTAGATAGAGAAGCTTTTTTCGCAGTTGCATCTCTGATCAACGAATGAGAATGCTCTCATCGGCTCACCTGCCAATAATCCAGACCGTATCCCAAAACAACAGCGCTGATTCGCACAGCTGTGCCGCCCACTCGCGACACTGGTAGCTGTCGGAAAGTGACCATCTCTCTTGTCAGCAATAACTGCGCCATCTCTCCTGTCAGCAATAACTTCGCCATCTCTCCTGTCAGCAATAACTGCGCCATCTCTCCTGTCAGCAATAACTGCGCCATCCAAGGCCAAGTTCAGTGACCCGGTGGACACATCAAGTGACATCGACGCCCGCAGC